AACAGAAAGTTTTCTGTGATGAGTATATTAAGGGGTAGGGGATATAACAGGCCTATAAAGTTTGTACAGAATAAAAATCATAAAACATGAAACACTGTTATAGCACAAAACCTCAAGGTAGTTTCATAACTCCATCACAGCTTTTGAAAACATACTAGATGGATCCTATTACAAACATTATGTCAACTTCATAAGTTAGTAATGTAAGTTTATTTTCTAATGTGGCATCTGTAGACTGTATTACTGTTATTAATTCAGCAACAAGGGTGATTTGAAACATGTATCTTGCATTGTTTGCTGCTGAATGAATTGATTGTTAAAAGTACTGAACTGAAAGAAGATCATACAGTTGTGTTTTGATGATTAAACCAAATTTTCTCATTACATATTACAATATTCTTGTGTTTGAAACAATGATTATGTGGACTGAAAATATGTGCAACTGACGGAAAGCATGAATCAGGGTTTGAAAGAATGACTAGCTGTGTTACAAGTGTGATCAGTTTGGATTTTTGTTTTTTTGTAAAAGTTTTGAAAATGTACACCTTACTTGTGAAAATAGTACCAAAGCGAATAAAAATAAAACTGTAAAGTGACGGCGTCCTAAAAATCCTGCTGCTTCCTGGGTTTTCAACGCTATCTCACGACCAATTCGTACAAATTTGTACGAGTGATTAAAAGGTGGCTAATTCGTGAGAATTCTTACAACCTCAATCGTACGAATTTGTCTAAACTCACGTGATGGGTAGGTAGGTTTAGGGGCGGGGTCAGGGGTCGGACATTCGTACGAATTCATACGAATTGGCCAACTCATAAAATATGTATGATTTAGCAAAAATCAAGAGTGAGGTTGTACGAATTGTTACGAATTAGCCACCTCGTAAAATTTGTACGAATTGCTGTGAGATCAGGTTTGGGTTTATAATGTTAACCAAACAACAAAGGACAAAAAAAAAAAATCACTTACTGCTCTTGAACTTTAAAAAAGCATATGAGACTATACAGTGCTATTTATTTAATTAGTCTACTTTATTGAATTTCAGTACCTGAAAAATATTAGACCTGCCAGAAGAGCACTGTTTATTTCATTTGCATGTATTGTATTGTATTTATTTGTGCTTTTGCTTTTAATTTGATTGTTTGCTCTTATTTTATTACTGACTGTGTTTACTGGTCTTTAAAAGTGTAGAAAATTCAATTTATATTAGATAAGCTAGTAGCTGTGGTATCAAACTCCAATAGGGCAATCTGGTGTTCACTGGTATCTAAAATGTTTTTGTGTCATGGCTGGTAAAAAAATATTTTTGACCCGTACGTTTTCTTAAGTCACCGGCCACTGGGAGATGTGGCAAAACAATTTGTTTTAGGCCCTGATTACTTTTTTTGAGGAGTGTTCCGGGAACTTGTTTCAAAACAATCATTATTATGCCATACCATTTGGTGACAGTAGCATAGGAATCGGACACTTCAACTTTAATTTAAATGAATCAGACTGACTCAAACATTTCAGAGAGACATTCTTAGCAAAAAAACAACAAAAAAAACATGATAAATTCAATCTAAGACAGATGAGGCAACTCTTTTCTTTCACTTCCTCCCCCTTCTCTTTTCTGCAGATAAATTATTTAAAACCCCCATAAAAGACATAGCTAGGGCTTAAATCATTTTCATATCTCTCTAAACGAGAGACGAACGCCTCGCATGTCAATGACCAATTCAATTCCACACGCCATTTTCCTCTGCTAATTAACACAGTACCGTGTTCATTTAGAGACACAATACAGAGCACTGGGCCGGGGCAGACTGGGCGGCCGTACACCGTCTGCTGCTGACATCGGCCTTTAATAGGGCTTTAGCATATTAAACAGCTCAATCATCCCTCATACGCACACACACACACATAGAGAAACTCCAGGGAGGCACTAGTTTTCATGTAATAGGGACAAGCAAGAGAAAAGAGAAAGTATGGGAGACAAACTGTGAGAGAAAGTCTACATTAGTCACTCAAAGACACTTTCTTGTTGCTATATATCTTTAGATGTGTGAAGGGAGGAATAAAATTGGAGGGAGGGAGGGGGGAATAAGGAAAAGTGTGAAGTTAGATGACGTTAAGAGTAAAGGAATAATTTAATCACAAACACTGTCAACACTAAAATTTTAACACAATCTGGCTGTCAAAAAGAAGGAGAGACAGACACAGGAGTTGAAGATGAGAAAGGGAGGTTATTAAAGGAGTAGTTCACTTTTAAAAAACTTTTGCTGATATGTCATCCAAGATGACCATGTCTTTCTTTCTTCAGTCGAAAAGAATTTTTTTTTTTTGAAAACAGGAACAGGAGAGTCATGAACGCACATCACAGAACAGAGCAAGGCGAGCATTTGAGCTTATAAAACTTAAACTGTTATTTTGTTTTAATGAGAGATCGTTTCGTTTGATAAGACCCTTATTCCTCGTCTGGAATCATATTAAGTCCAAATGATTTAAAGTTTGCACTGAAACTCTCATTTGGACCCCATGAAGTCCATTATAAGGAGAAAAATCCTGGAATGTTTTCATCAAAAACCTTAATTTATTTTCGACTGAAGAAAGAAAGACATGGACATCTTGGATGACATGGGGGTGAGTAAATTATCAGCAAAAGTTTTTTTTAAAACTCCTTTAATGCTATAATGTTGGCTATGTATGTTATGTTCATTTCATATTCATGACTACATTTTTTGTTGCTGTTTTATTCCTTCTATAGCCAATGTATGAGCAATCACAATAAAGGGTCCAATATTTATTGTAAAAATGACCACATTTAAGCATGCCCCCTGAACGGTTCGTAAATAATAAGGAATTTACCTACAAACGGAGCAATTAAAAAATCTAAGTACCTCCATGTTTTTGCAAGTGCGCAGTCAGCTCAGTTCAATCAGGCAACATGCCTTGCCAAACAAAACTTACTGTGAGCAGACAGCACTGAACAAGCTCATCACACAGGACATGTTATACAACTGTGTGATACAACAATGCAAGAATTTCAAGAAGCTTTTTCAAAGTTTTCAAAAGTTGCACAGTTTTTAACTTGTAGCACTAGACAAAACAGCTCAATGTTTTGTTCAATGATATGGAAATATAGATAATATATTGACCTCTAAAACCCATTTTTGTAATGCCATAATGTAACGTCTTACAACTACATTTTTACATAAATACATTTTAAAATGATGATTGACAGTATACTAGTCTAAAAATATACTGGATAACTCACTAAAGATGATTCTATAATAATTGGAATAATATGAATTTGTTTTCTTTGATCACAATAAGCAAAGATGGGGCTATATTAAATGTTTTTACCAGTTATAAAATAAAAATTGGGAATTTATAAGAAAAGTTTGAGATGTTTCTTCATGTTTTGTGTTTATCTAATGAAAAACAAATTTTCTCGAGTATTATAGGTTTTTCAATGTCCTCAATATTGTATTCCATCCTGTTAGTCTTTTGCAATATCCGTTTAACTAACAAAAGCCAGTTCCTAAATTACATCATCAGGAAGTGTACAGGGAAAACAAAAGCAGCAAGTATCAGCAACGGACTTCAAGTTGACACTCTCATGTAAACTAACACTCAATTTCTCACTCTGCAACTACAACACAAGCCTATTCATTTTTTAAGAGATAGAATTCAAACGGTACCATGAAAAGTGTGTGTCTGTGTGTGAGAGACAGAACAGTTTTAATAAGGATTATTACTAGCCTATGCTACTAGCCAAGGCCATAGCTGTCTTGACATTAAAGGATTCAAAGAGATTTAAGGGAATAAAGAAAAATAGTAGAAGATCCACAATTTGTGCACACAATTTGAACAATTTAGTCATATCTGATTATTGGGGTGACATTCCCGCCTCAATGTCTATGGTGGTTACAGTCCGGTATAGGTACACTAACCGTATCTCACACAAACCTGTTGATGTAATTATATTCAAATAATACACAATTTGGTCGATTTATGAACATTTAACAGTGATAACCACTTCAAATCTCCTCACAATTCTGTTTTCGGCATGCTTAACTATAGGCCAAAAAAGAACAGCTAAACCTATACAAACAAGCATGACAATAAAACAAGACAATATCACAAAACAGATTGATGTTCCAGTTGGCTCATGTGAAAATATAACAAGATATGTGCACATAGTAGTTTAACTGTCCATTTCTAATTCACTGCCCATCAAACTTTTGATTTATTGTGTGTGAGACGGCTGGCTCCACATTTAGACCGATAAACAACACTCATACAGACAGCAATCTGCTCTACCTGACTGAGAGACAGACAAAGAGAGACAAGGGGAACACTGGAATATTGGAAAATGAAGTGTTGTCATTTCGCAATACATCTGAGTCCAAATTATGCACATCTAACTAAGCGCGCCACTGTGCGCTCACGGCTGATTTCCCGCCAGAATCACATCATAGCGCGAGCATTTATTACGCGCTCGTGCAGCAGTCGCTCTGCCCGCGCGCCCGACTGGAGATACAGCGCTACATGATTGCGGTCTGTAACCTCCAATCTCAACTCTCCTTCCCCTGACGCGGGCCAGGAAAATGCTATCACAGCACTGAAAATCAATCTGCGTCTAGCACGAATGGAACGAATGATATCCGAATGGAGGAACATATTGGAAAAAACGTTTAAGTAGGAAAATATATAAAAGTCGAGAGAATAGGGAATACGGGATGTTCTTAAACTGTACAAGTAGGCTAGTTTTATTTCATAGCTATTTGAGAGTTGTTTTAGGGTCTGCGACTTGAGTCATGTCCCGATCTCTTCTCTCCCTGTAGGCTACTTTCCTGTCAGTTCTCCGCTATCCTATCTAACGAAGGCAAAAAGCAAATAGCCTAGTCAAAATACTAATGCATGCATATGATTGGCACTGACTAACAATAGCCTAAAGAATTTGACATCATCTACAAGAGATTTGCATGCATTTTCAAATAAAACAGATATGACCTACCATATACACCGCTGATCATATTGCTTGACATCAGCGAGGTGACGGAGAGAGACAGGGAGGAGTATTGTAGAGAAAGAGTTTTTCAGTTAAGTTGAATGACACACCGCATGCAAACAGTGTTGGGCGGACAGGAACCCCAACTGTGGAGAAAGAGATTTGAGAGATGAATATGCAGCAGGAAAGTAAATTTACCATTAGCTATAACAATGCTCATTAATTGTCATTGCTAGGCTTTATTTGATTAACTTCCCGATTTACCCTCTAAACAAAATGTAAAACAGAATATTTAACGCTCTTTTTTTCATTTAGGCTACTTTATAAAGGCTTTTTTATATTCATTTTTACATGAACATTTAATGCAAACATATATTTTTTTTAAAAGTGCTTTAAAATCCATTTAAATGTAGATTGTCTATTTATTTCTTAACTAAACTTAGCTTATAAGGGTTTAAATTATTTATTTCTATTTATTTATTCAATTAGCCAACTGTAAATCAGTTATATTATATCAAATATTATTTAAATTGAATTTAATTATGCTTGTCTTGTGAATACCCTTGTAATGGAAACAACAGAACATATAACTATAAGAGCTATTGAGATTTATAAGGATAATATTCAATAGTGCAGATAGAATGTCTCTGTCACTCTCGCCTGGACACACACATACGGATCAATGCTGTCGTAAGAACTCTCCTCCAATAATAAAACTTCTTACCTTGTGCTCAGTCAAACTATCACAATTTAATGCTATTAAGAGCCACGCCGAACAAAAACTGCGCGCTGTTTTCTGGGGCCTGTGTCCGAGTGTCCGAGCGCGCTGTCCGTGCATGGCATGGCCTCTCTCTCTCTCTCCGGTAGCCTACACACGGACAGCTGGTGGACGCAAACAAAGTGAAAGAATTACCTGTTCCGCGCCTGAGAACGGCGAAGCGTCCAGCCGTGCTGCTGAGAGCGGCGGATGGCGGTTACTCCGAGTCGGTGATGTTCTGGAATGCTTCCAAGTCAGGGCTGGAGAGACTGACCACCACAGAATTACTGACCACATCTACTGCCATGTTGGAATTCCAGAACCTCACGCCAGCTGCCGAAAAAAAGCGGAGAAGCTTCATCCCTTACCGCGCATGCGCTCTACCAGACTCCAGCTGAGAGTCCAGTCTCTCTCTCTCTCTCTATTTCTCTCTATAACACTATAAACGCTAGCGGATTTAAACATCCTTTGGGAATTCACAAAATACAAATATAAGTCATATATTTTGTTTGTAGCAACATTCGCTGATTTTGTTAAACAGAATGGGACTATAACTATGGCTACAGTCATTGGAAACAAACAGCTGTGAGAAAATATTGTTGTCGTAATATAAAAGGTCATGATTGTTTGGGCTACTGTAATATTTAATTAATGGCATATTTGATAACAATGAAATTAATTGCAAAATGCTTTTTTTGTGCTTGCCAACATAGACACATGTTTTTGAGATTTACAAATCTGTATATTATACATTGGCTTCAATTAATTTAGTGACACATAATAAAATTAATAGCCTAGACTATAGCTAGCTGTTTGCTAGCAGTAGCACATATTAGCATCTTAAATGCTAAGTTTTACATGCTCCTTCCACCATATAAAGAGTAAGGAGTTAAATCAGTCAACAACCAAACCTGTTCTCCACAATCGTAACCCACTGTAATTTAAATAGTTCTAATAATTGCAATGTAATTTTACATTAAACACAATTACACACTATCAAGTCTTCGCCTTTTCTAAATTTCTCAAAAAAAGATAAAATAACACTTAATTTTAACATTTATTCTCTCTTAATTCAACCATATGCAAAGCATGCGGGGAACTAACAAGCACCGCCCAGTTTCAGTTAATGGCATGCAACACAAATCAATCTTGTAATCCAACACAAACGGATTAAGTAAACTTAAATTGTACATATATTTAAGCAGATTGAACACAATCAAATTAAGTTCGGGCAAAATGGTAGTTGGCTCGCACTATACTTCCACCCTCTGGATGTATGACATTTTTTACTTAACATAAATGGTTTGTGTTCAGACAACGCATAAGGATTTTGTACTGTTAAGTTGAGACATAATTACATAGACAAAAAAAAGTCAAAAAACACAATTATTAAGCTAATATAAATATATGATGAAAGTGCGCAACCTTCCTAGTTCACTTTTTTGAGTGCAATGTAATTATTTTATTTGTATCTCTTGTCCTTCCTCTCTAACATGCCTGGAAGAATAAAGCGATGGTCATTATAATTGCAGAAGTGCACATGTGTGTATGCATTTGAATGAGTAATTCAACAGTCGCTGTATATTAAATAAACTATAAGCATATACTGTATAATGTGCATAATAATTCATATTAAGACATTGTTGGGTATTGACCCACTGAATGCCGATTCTTTATTGTGCTTAACCGCTTCAGTACTCTGGTCAAGGAGTAAGAGTCATCAGATATTTTCCACCTTTTATTTCTGTGCAGGTTTCACCATTAAAACATATGAGCTATGCTTTTGAGGTAGTTTCTGCAATAAACAAATAAACAAACATGAATAACTAAATGCTAATCATACATACTCGCATAGAGTTGTGATAAATGGCACATTAACAATTAAACACCTTTAACAGTTCTCTCTCAGTGAGTTTAACATAACAGAAATAAGCAAACAGAAGATAACAGAGCATATAAAACTTAAGGTATATTATACAGCGTCCTCATACTATTAAAGTATAATATCTTATGCATAAACGTAACTAAACGAGATATATACACAACAATATCCAGATTAGCCATAAAGCTATCGGCACTTCCACGTGCGTCACACGCGTCTCACGCGACAAACTAATATACATAAAGATCGCGAAACACCCGCGGCTTACATACTTAATGTTTAAGATAATCCCGACAAAATAAACATTCAATATTATAAATATAGTCAGGAAATGAACTTACTTTGTCAAGAACTTTCCCTGCACTCAGAAATACTGCACGGCTGGAAAAATGCGTCATACTCAGACGGCGCTGTATGCACAACTTAACCCTGTCACTTCCGCTCAAACAGCGTCCAACCAAATTGCGTACTACTACCTAAATCCCACATACTAAGTATTCTACATAATACACTCTGTAAATATAAACTACAGCAGTAGCTAATACTTAAACCCAGTTAGTAAAGAATTCACAACAGCCGCCCCCACATTTGAGCAGCAAATGTGTAATTTAAGAGAATTCTTTAAGTTCTTTGTTGTCCTCCAAGGCTGGCAACTGAATAAGGCGAGCAACCGGCCTGGTGTACACCTTACCCTTAACAAGAACATCAGCTGTTCTCACACATCCATCATCACTAACAACAGTCTTCTCCACTTTACCGATAGGCCACTGAGCTCTGGGGAGTTGTGGATCAACTATCAAGACTACTGAGCCTACTGTCAGAGCATCTGATGGTTTGTGCCATTTCTGGCGCGTCTGGAGCGTAGGCAAGTAGTTCCTTGTAAATTGAGTCCAGAACTGGTCCACAAGATTCTGACAATGGCGCCATCTACGCCGCCCCATTGCTCCTGAGGCATATGCCACTTGAGGAAGCGATGCATCCCGCCGCCCCATGAGTAGAAGATTGGGTGTAATGGCGTCGAGGTCTGCAACGTCTGCTGAGACGTATCCGAGGGGTTTTGAATTTAAAATGCCCTCCACCTCTACTAAGACAGTAGTTAGGACATCCTCAGAGATAGACTGACCTCCCACTGCCACTTGGAGAGCAGTCTTGATGGAGCGGACCTCTCGCTCCCAGACACCGCCAAAATGAGGAGCATTCGGCGGATTGAACTTGAATAGGATCTGGTACTCGGCTAACTGCTCCTTTAGTTGGGAGTCCATAGCTGCAAAGGCTTCCCGCAGTTCTCGATCAGCGCCACGAAAGTTTGTGCCACAATCTGATCTGATCTCCTTTGGCCTTCCACGTCTGGCTATGAATCGCCGAAAAGCAAGCAAGAAAGCATCCACATCCATGGAGTTAAGAAGCTCTATGTGGACAGCTCTTGTGGTGAGACATTTGAAAATGACACCCCAACGTTTCTCAATCCTTCTGCAAATTTTGACATGATACGGGCCAAAACAGTCCACTCCTGTAGAATAGAATGGGGGACAGAGAAGCCTGAGCCGCTCCGGTGGTAAATCTGCCATTCGCGGCACTTTTGGCTGAGCTCGCCACCGTTGACAGGAAGAACAGTTAAGCTGGTGGTGCTTAATAGCTTGACGTCCCCGCAAGATCCAGTATTGCCTCCGTATTTCTGCATACACCCGTTCTGTACCTGGGTGCAACAAGCGCTCGTCGAAGTTTTTAATGAGAAGCTTTGTTGCTGGATGCTGCGGATCTAGCACTATCGGATGAATTTGCTCAACATTTGGGCTTTCCAGTCTCCGTAATCGTCCTCCGACTCTTAGTACATTAGTCATTGGATCCCATTCTGGAGCAAGACACTTTAGTCGACTGTGGTTTGGTATAAGTCTTTGGGTTTTAAGTGCTGCTATTTCCTCAGGAAAGCTCTGAGCTTGACAGTCTCTCAAGAGAATCAATTCTGCTTCGCGATGATCAATGAGCTGGGTGTTCGTTAAATCATCCGTTGCCTTTTGACATGATAGTCGAGTTGCCTCCACTAAATCCTTCCATGTGTTGAACTGAATGGCATGCGGGATGTTTTGATCTGGTTGCGTGATAGTTAGACAGCAGATAGTGGGACTCTTTAGGTCAGGTAACTCTTCTGACCTTGCCTGCTCAGGTCTCTTTGGCCAGTGTTCAGAGTTCAGTTTAAGAAACGATGGTCCCTGACTCCAACGCCCAGGCACAGTAAAACTTAAGAGTGGTTTACCTCTTGTGATATCGTCTGCTGGGTTCTGCTGCGTATCCACATACCGCCAATCTCTGCCCTCCGTCAACTCTTGTATCTCTGAGACCCTTGTTCCGACAAAGACTTTGAATCTACAAGAATCCGACTGCAGCCACTCCAACACAGTTGTAGAATCAGTCCAGAGAGTTGTCTGCTGGATAGTGAGAGTGAACTCATCTCTCAAGAGCTTTGCGAGCTGTGCTCCTGCTAATGCTGCACATAGTTCCAAGCGAGGTATGGACTGTTGCCTCTTAGGTGCCACTCTCGATCTAGCCATAACAAAGGAAGTATGAATGCCATCTTCTGCGCACACTACCAAGTAAGCCACTGCTCCATACGCCCTCTCGGAAGCATCACAAAACACATGAAGATCATACTTCCGTTCTACATCGTTCGGAACTGATGAGTAACAGCGAGGAATGTGTATGGCACTAAGATGCTGCAACTCACTTTCCCAGGTGTTCCAGGCAGCATGAAGATCCGGAGGTAAATTTGGGTCATCCCATTCCCTTTTTTTCGACCATAGTTGTTGAATGAGCACCTTTGCTCGTGTGGTGAAGGGCACAATGAACCCCAAGGGATCATACTGACTTGCCAGGACTTGATAGGCTGTTCTCATGGTTAGTGCAGCATGTTCAATGGGACGATAGTGGTATCCTAATGTATCATGAGCACAGTTCCACCTGAGACCCAAAGTTGGCTCCAAAGGATCAGTTTTGTTCTGACCAAGCCATTGTTCTGCAGCCACAGACCTTGCTTCAGTGGGTAGATGGGATATCACTGACGGCTGGTTGCTGGCCCATTGTCTGAGGTCAAATCCACCCTCTGACAGGAGATTGCGCAGTTGATTGAGTGTTAGCTTGGCCTCTGATGCGGTGGGAAAACTTGCCAGATAGTTGTCCACATAAAAACTCTGTTGCACTGTTTGCAGAGCACCTGGGTAACTCTCTTGGTTATTTCGAGCATGCTGCTGCACAGCGAAAATGGCACAACATGGGCTGCTGGTTGTACCAAACGGCAAGACCTGCCATTCATAAACGTCTGGGCAGTTCTCACAGCGTAAATCTCGCCAGATGAAGCGGAGTAGAGGTCTGTCCTCAGGCAACAGGCGAACCTGATGGAACATTCCCCGAATGTCAGCACTTACAGCCACGTGGTGCTGTCTAAATCTCAAAAGGACCCCCAGCAATGATGGGCCGAGTGTGGGCCCTGGCAGAAGCTGATCATTCAGAG